TTTGCTTCCAAGTCTACTATGGCTACTCATAATCTAACAAGTATACCTATAATTTCATATAAGAATGGATCATTTTAATGATGCTGCTCATAAAAGATATATTCCTCTTTGCTACGAATAATCATATGTACAAATTATTTAAACAAATGTTTTATACATTTTATACTAAGAAGTAAAACCTATATTATAGATGCATCTGTCATAATATCGATATGCCATAAATAAAAATATACTGTTTAACTTTATTTTGCGTATTATGTAATGGTTTATTTAAATATTACTCATTATATAACAATTTTACACGTTATCAACTTGTTTTCATTTCTTTTTATTAGATGAAAATCATTTGACCTTGTTCAGATGGAAAGTAATATGGCGGCAAATATACCTGATGATAATGATCTTCTCCCTCCTGTACAGGAAAGTACAGGAACTTCTGTATATCCTCAAGTCATTGAAAAACTGAAGTTACAAGAGTATTACCCCAAAGGTTTAACTCGTGAAAAAGCGCTAGCAGTTCAGGAATATCAAATTTCAACCGACGATCTCAAGGATCCTGGCAAGATTCCTTGGTTTATTTTGCAAAATATAATGATGTATAACTATGAAGGCAGGTGTTTTGAAGTTAGCCAAAATCTACCATCGACTGCTGGAATGGGGGACTCGTTTTCATTTTCGGAAAGCTGTTTAGATGAAACAGACGTCTGCTACGACACTGGACGCATCAGTCCCTTAGACGCCATGGTAGCTCTTTTTTTGTGCTGTGATGATTTCCTGAGACAAAGTTTAGTAGAAAAAATGTCTATCTGTCAGCTTGCCATTCCACTGCTATTGCCAATCAACACCAATCCAAATGAAATTGAAATGCTTTTATGGGCGATGAGTACGTTAACTAAGCAATGGAAACGTTCAGGAGCATCATTTGAGCGATCAATGGCCGTGCATCCTTTACCGATCATATCCGCAATTCGCGTAGGAAGGCCTCAGTTATCAAAATCCAAAATACTCAACCATGTTATAAGCGATCTAAAACATGACATTTTCTTCCATTATGAATGCGATGGAGGTAATCTGAAAAGAAACATTTCAAATGGTTTACTAGAAATTTCGTGGTATCGTCCAACTGGAAAAATCCACGAAACTATACATGAACCGCTCACCTTCATCAATTTAAGAGGAAATGCATCTGAACTTGAAAGCCAAACACGTTTTATATCGGAAATATCACTTGCAACTATAGCCTTCACGTCTTCAGATAATCAAAAGAAAGAAGACCTCATTTTATTTGAAAAATTGTACGAGCAAAAAGGCCACTTGATTCTTGTAGTCGATGGAAAACCTGGAAAATGTTTAAAAGAATCACTTATCTCATTGGAGCAAAAATGCGCTAGGATAAAGGATAAGCAAGTAGGGTGCATTAACTCTTTAAATAAACATGATGTGCAAATAAGTAAGGATATCAGAAGATTGCTAAAAGACATCTGTGAAGGAAATGGGCGTTGTATTGTACCTGATAAATCTATTGATATGTGTGTTGAATTTGCGGAAAATAATTGTTTTAAAATCGACGACCGAACACAGGAGTGTTTTACAGGAAAATCTATTGCACATATGATGATAGGTGGTATAAAACCGATAGAGAAAGAAAAACAGCTACCTTTGCAAAAGATTGCAATAAAAATTAGAAAGAAGGAGAAGGAACGGTATTTGTTGGAACACAAAGAAGACATGCAAATAGAGGATTACAATGACAAAATAGACTCTGACATATTGTGTTTGCGTAATGAGCAAAAAAACATATTCGACCGAAATCCTGAGGTAATAAAGCTATTCAACAGGTCTTATGCCTATCGAGAAGTAGAGAGAAAATATTTTCATAGCTACCTTAAGATGATATTAGGCAGGTACGGCATTGACCAACTTCACCCTATACGACAGGAATACAACTGCAAATGGAAAACGTTTTGTGATATACGAGAGAATCCAAACACTGAAATTCAAGAATTAACATCAAGGAAAAGAGAACTAAATGATCTCGAAAGTAAGATTTCTAAACTTTCATTGGGCTTAGAACACTTCATTAGAGAGATGGGGCAAATATACGAAATGAAATCAGATTTGAAACTACTGGATGATTCAACTCGTCAATTTGCATATGTTGCAGCTGAAATGTTACTTAATGGTCATCCCTTGGAATTGATGGATGGTGACGCGTCACGTGTTCCCCTAACTTGGATTGGAGCTGTTTTGACGTCCCTTACAGAAATAATCGGTAGTAAACGATTGTTTGTGTTGTCAGTGCTTGGTTGCCAGAGTAGCGGAAAATCAACTATGCTTAATGCAATGTTTGGTTTGCAATTTGCTGTAAGTGACGGTAGGTGTACTAAAGGTGTGTTTGCACAATTGGTGACAGTGGACACATCTTTACAAGAAAATACAGGATGTGACTACATCTTGGTTGTTGATACGGAGGGACTAAATTCTCTGGAATTAGCAGACGACCGTACTTCTTACATCCGTGACAATGAAATGGCTACTCTTGTGATTGGTTTAGGTGATGCTACAATTATTAATATCATGGGCCAAAATTCAGCGGAAATGCAAGGCATTCTAGAGATTGCTGCTTTCGCTTTAATAAAAATGAAGTGTGTAAACATTAAACCAAGCTGTTTGTTAGTACATCAGAATGTCACAGATGTTACAGCATCTAACATGAATATCACTCAAGTACGATCATTACAAAAAATATTGGATGAATCCGTAAAATTTGCGGCAAAAACACAAAACTGTAGTCACATATACAAAAGATTTTCTGATATAATTCAATTTCAGGAAACTAAACACGTGATGTACGTTTCTAGCCTCTGGAAAGGAGATCCACCATTAGCACCTCCTAATCCAGGCTATAGTGAATGTATCCAGAATGTAAAGAGACAGATCATGTGCTTCTTGCGAACTTCACATCTTAAAGAAGTGAAAGATTTCGAACAAAGGCTTTCGGATCTCTGGAAAGCAATTCTCAGCGAGAATTTTGTGTTCAGTTTTACGGATAATATCGCTATTCAGGCTTTTAGTGCTCTGGAATTGGTATACTTGGAGCATTCTCGGAAACTAAGGAGAAACGCAATGACCTACAGCGACAATCTTCAGACAAAGTGTAATATACTGTCAGCTAATGATATAGAGAACCAAGGTAAAACAATACTACAACAGCAAACCGATAAATTCAACGAAGATGTAACAACGTTCTGTACGAGACTGGAGGAGTATTTCTCAAAACATTCAAAGGCTTGTCAATGGAAGGGTAAGACAGAAATAAAGAGAGATGAACTATGTGTAACTTTAAGAAAAGAAATCATAGATGAATTTCAATCTATAAAAAAGAATATCATTGGAAGAGCTGAAATTGACTCAAGAAAAAAACAAAATGAAAAAGATATCTTAGAAAAGGCTAAAACCCTGGCTGACACATTCCGAGGTAAAAAGTTATCAGTAGCAGAACTGAAAAGAAAGTTTGATGATGAATGGAAGAAATGGATTGATGTTATACCCTGTTTCGAAAAGAACATCAATATAGAAGTATCTCTTCAAAATATATTTCGATCAGAACGTAGAATGTTCGACAGGGACGTAACACGTATGCTTCGTAAAACATCCAATAGATCAGTTTATTCTTCAATAATGGTAGCCGAGGAAGATTTAGATTTTGGCTCTTGGTTTGGAAGAGGGGTTAAAAGGATTTGGGGTCGCAACTTTAGTAAAAATACATGTATTGACAAAGCAGAGTCAATTGCAACAACATTGCGATCGAGCGTAATTGAACGTATTTTGAGTCACGGTCATGATGGTAACAACTATAGTGAGATATTTGGAAATGATTTGTTTGATTTCATAACAGAAAGCTTGACAAATGTAACGATAGATGGTGGGGTTAATTTTAGAGACATCGGGAAGCATCGGGTAGCGATGTGTATACTCTGGTCGACCTTACCAAAGTTAAGGCAGTTAAACATGAAGTACTGTCAGGCAAATGACATGAAATTATACATGGAAAATACACAAAAGGTCAGATTGTGGGAAATGTTCAAAGATGAATGTATGGCGGTAGAAATAAGCATCAAAGCTGCCTCTATGGTATCTCGAGAGTTGGAAAGTGCCATTCAAATTTCTCTTCCAAGCAAGTGTAAACATGGAGTGCTTGAGAAAACTAAAAGTGGAGCATTTGCAAATAAGATGGCATTTCATGCACAGCTCTTAATTGAACTGGCGAATAAAAATTGTTTTGATTCTTACAGAGCTTACTTGCCGAATCCATACCAGTGTATGGACACCTATATTGGAGAATGTATACACAACGTATGTGAAGGAACAACGAAAAATGGGAAAACCGTTTTAGAAGAAATATACTATGACAAATTGAACAGTCTTTATGCCAATGCAGAGCAAGCAATTAATGACACATGTAAACACTACCAAGGTAAATGTAAGATTACTGTTTGGTGGCCAAAATTAGTCGAAAAAATCAGCCAAGACCTGGATGTTAAACAAGAACTAAGATTTTTTAATGAAGATGGTTGTTTTGATGTGGACGATTTTAAGGAGAGGTTACTAAGTAAATTACAGGAATCTAAAAATAATATCATGAAATTATTCAAAGGTGTTTATATTCTAGACGCCATACTCGAGCCATGTCGAAAGTTTTTAAAAAACGATCTTCTTGGATGCCATGAGTTATGTATATTTTGCAAAACACCATGTGACTTACAACTTGGTAACAATGATGAACATCGCACACGTTATCATCGACCCCAAGGAGTGTCTGGGTACCATAATTTGGCAACTAAAAAACTTGTTACCAACGTTTGCACAACAAATGTTATGTCGACAAATGCAACGTTCGTATGTGAAGAAACTAACAGGATACCACACCTTTATTGCGACTACCAAAGTGTTAATGAATACTACAAAACCTGGAAGATCCAGCCAGTGGCACGTCAGTCACAGCTGTACTGGAAATGGTTTATGGCAACCTACAATAACGATCTTGCTGGTTACTACGGTTGTCAGCCAGCTGATATTCCAGATGGATGGAAGCAAATTACATTGGATTTGGCAATAGCAGAATTGAAAAAAACGTACAATCTTTAAGAAAACAATGTATTTCAACTTTGCTAGAAGGGTTTCAACTAGGTATCAGTAAAGGAATATGTATTATATACGTATAATTTGGTACGGTATTGCAGGGGTGGGGGCGGGGTGAGCGTGGGGCCAGGGCCCTGTCGGACAGCCGGGGCCCCCCGTCGGGGAGAGCTTCCCCTCCCCCGTTGGAGAGAAAAAGCACAATTCGTCGGGGAGAAAAAAATATTGCATGTATTTTTTACATCAGACTCAAAAATCGATTAAATAAGCCTTTGATAAACTTAAATTGTCTAAATTCTCGGGGACCTCGCCCCCAGGACCACTTCCGGAACCTTTTTATCGAAGCTCGACCACGCCCACTTTGCTTTCGTCAGGGAAATTTGACACCTCGTCGGGGGCACCGCCCCCCCGTCGGGGACACCGCCCCCACCCCCGTCGGGGACCTCGCAACCACCCCCGTCGGGCAAATCCTGGCGGCACCCCTGTATTGAGCTACACATCAATTATATATTTACGGTCCAAAATAAATATGAAAGATTTTGTTTAATTTCTGTTTCAAATAATTATCTGTTTTAAATAATTTTTTTAACCATAAATGTACATAATATTTTTTGCACTTTTTGAGGGAGCTTATTCAAACCAGGCGCTTATCCAAACTGGGCGCTTATGAAAACAAAGTGGAAATTTAGGGGCGCTTATGGATATTTATGAAAATTGAGGGATCTTAAAGGAACCTGGAAAATTCAAGAGGTGTTTTTTGAATGAAAAATTATTATATAAGGACATCTGGAAACTGAAGATTACGAATGGTTCTGGTGCAGAAAAGAAATCGCCCAGAGAGCATGGCTCTTGACAAAAAATGCTAGTTTTGAAAGTAGATGAAATTAGGGTGGTGGTGGTGTATAAACTTGTTGACATCTATCTGCCAACTGAGATTAGAAGGATAATTTCAGGTGCTCTTGCAAACTCAGATGAAAACGTGCTAGAGTGCAAATTATCGGGGAAAAAAAGAAAAATAGGGCTAGGACTAAAATAACGAGCTCTCATCTATCCAGGAGAAAATATCCTCATTTTGAAAATGTGTATCCACCCCGTAAGGATTTTTTAATTAATTAACATCGGGAAGTGCTTGTTCAAATTAAAAGGAGCGCTTATTCTTAAATTTAATATAGGCCTTATCAATGACGCATAAAGTATTTGTGTTTATCAGTTGCAGTGATTGAAAATATATATGCATAGACAAAAAGTGATGTTAGTTGGTAGGCCTTCAGATGTAATGTATATAACATTTTTTATGTATCCAAAACATTCAAATAAATGGTAATTGATTTTTTCACGGATTTTGTGTTTCAGAAATTCATTAAATAAAGCGTCTTTGTCGGCGATTACTTAAGGTCGCTTTGGTAGAAAAAAAAATAAAATCCTGCCTAAGAGCCTATTTAACAGTTGACAAAAATAGAGCTGTCGCTAAAATCGGTGTTGGTGCTGATTTCCAATGATGATATATGATATCGGATAATGATGATAAATATGATGATAATAATGGTAGTGATAATGATGATGGTGGTAGTGAGGGTTTTTGTATTCTTAATTGTAAAGTTAATGGTAATGATAGTTGTAGTAGAGGTAATGATAATGGTAGTTAATTAATGATAGATATATTGTTAATGTTAATGATAATTTCAATGATAATAATGGTATTACAATTTATAATGGTATAGAACGTGGTAATGTAGTGGTAATGATATTAATGATCATTCTTCTTATAATTTTTCAAAATTGATGTTCTTTCGCCACTTTTTATCATCTAGTTCAGCTAACGTTAAGGTAATGGTAATGTTAATGGTAAATATATTGGTTATGTTAATGTTAATGCTAATTTTAATGATAATAATAATGGTATTGGCAAATATAATGTAATGATTTTTTTTTACATTTCCTTCAATCCAACAGCAAGTACACTCGCCACGTACAGGATGAGAAAGCTTTTATAAACTAAGTCTCTTTATGAGGCTTAGGGAGTGGAGTTGAGTTTAGCCATGAGAAAAAGTCCTGCTGTGACAGGAATTGAACCAAGGTCCCCCTGGGATCAGAAGGCAAGCATCTTAACCACTGAGCTATTCAACTCCACTCCACTGGTGGTAAGGGTGGTGGTTGTGATATTGATGATCATTCTTCTTATGATTTTCATATAGTATAATGTTCTTGCTTGATATTATGAGGAATAGAATTCACAAAGTTTAGCTGAATGTTTAATACAAAAAAAATAATACAAAGTTGAATATATAGATATTAGGCCTAATAGATATATAAAAGGTGATATTTTAGAAAGACACTAAAGTCATATAACTTTGAATTCAGAGTAAGAAATTCATATTTATTCTAGGGGTAGGATGCGTTGTAAATTTTGCATCGTTTCTGTGTGAGCTAAATTACACATGGCATGATTAATATACTGTAATAGAAAACACAGAAGGCATGTTAACAAATTTACAATTTACTTGCCTTAAGCTCGAGTACCGCCTTACAAATAATCTAAATCATAATTATTTTAGCAGTTGGCTTGTATGACATTATTTGTAGTGTTGCGTGCACGTCAGTTCGAAATGGCCATTCTAATGTGAAAGGAGAGACGTGGAAAACGTCTGGAACAAAACGTCCATGCTGTCGATCACCATGGTGATAAGAACTGGTCTTGCTGTATTACACGTTCGCATCAGCTTTTATTTTGATTACGTATTAAAGATGTGTAGTGTCATGCAAAATTAAAGAAAAAAAAATTCTATTTTTTTAAAATCAGCTTGCTCATTTTGTAGTAACATACAAATTATAAACTTTAACACAGAAAAACAAATGTATTGTTCACCTATAATTTTACAGCGAAAATGATATAAACACATTTTTATTTATTTTATCTATTCGATTTCACACAGGCAAAAATACAATAAAATATTAATGAAATAAAAAAGATTGCCGGTGAGGGGAAAAGGCCAAAATTCAGTCACGGAAAGTGTTTTATTATTTTTATTATCATTATCTAATACAGAAATTATTGCACATATTTTTAAAATTTTATGCTCAAGTTAAAAATTGTATGTTACTGCAAAATAAACTTGTTAATTTCAAAATAATTTTTTTGTCATTTTCAAGGAACAATCGTCCTAATTAGAATATATGAATGAATGAAACAACACTTGTTATAATATATATATAAAAGCCTTATTTTAGTTCATGTCGAATACAATACATAGGAATACATTCTACCTACGGGCCTGCTTATAGTATCAGTTGACATAAATAGAGTTGTAACTACAATTAGTGTTGATATGCTAAATTTCCAATATGATAACGGATAATGATAATAACTATGACAATGATTTTGGTGGTAATGATGTAATAGGGGTGGCGATAATAGTATTCGTAATTGTAAAGTTAATGGGAATGGTAATGATAAATTTAATGGTAATGTTAAGATAATGATAATGTTATTGGTAAATATATCGGTTATGTTAATGGTAATGCTAATTCTGATATTAATAATAATGGTATTGACAATTATAATGTATGGTGAGGGTGGTGGTATTAATAATGTTGATCATTCTTCCTTTGATTTTCATATTAAATGTTCTTGCTTGATATTTTGCCTGACTGACTGCTTCTTCATTGTTGTATTAGCTGGCTAACTTTCTATACTATTGCTTTTTGCGGATATGTTAATGGTAATTTTAATTCTGATGTTAATTCTGATGATGGTATTGACAATTATAATTTAATGATGATGGTGCGGGTGGCGGTAATAATAATGATGATCATTCCTCTTATGATTTTTCATATTAAATGTTCTTGCTTGATATTATGAGGAATAAAAATCACAAAATTGGGTTAAATGTTTATTACAAAAATAATTATAATATATTTTTGTGTAATAAAGCTAAAATTGTTTTACCACAGTAACATTTTTTTCATTGTTGTACTAGCTGGCTAACTTTCTATTACCTTATAATTATTTATGTTTAACCGAAAATGTTGTTTATGTTTCATAATATTTGTGTATCCATGTAATAGACACCCTTTTATGGATGCTCCTTTCGATTTTGCATGAGTTGTTCACTATCCAATGTTAGATATCCGTTTAGGCGCGATCTAAATTATCCCGAACGACAGAAACGGGTCAAACACGTATGCTATTGATAGTATTTGTTATCAACACTACAGTACCTGCTGCCTACTTGGACTCGAATCGAATTCAATCCTGGCCATCAAGCATAAGCTCAATGGTCTAGAGGTATGATGCCAGGCTAGTGATCTGGAGATCGTGGGTTCGAGTCCCACCCGAGAACCCGTACTAAGCACGTTTTAAAACGTACTGAGTATTCAGTACATTTCCATGTGAGGTAGGGCAAAAATTACGGATCTAGGCCATATGGTCAAAATCCAGTTTGCCGAATGTCAGGTTACCGAGACCACTTTGCCGAATCCAAGTTTGCCGAGTGCCAGTTTGCCGACTTAAAAAGAATAAATCCCAGTTGGCCGAAACACAGTTTGCCGAATCCAGTTGGCTAACCCAGTTTGCCGTAAATCACTTAAAAAGCAGTGAAACATTAACAGCAGCATAAAATTCACGATGGAATACTTACTCTTACCATGGAGCTATTTAATACTAATAGATCCATGTTCTTACCACTACTGCACCTGTACGAAGTGGTGGCAAG